TTATGAATAATTCTTATGAAGTTGAATAATTGGGCTTTGAGAAACGAATCTCAAAAGTGAACACGAAATATTTGAAAATATATAAACCTATGCTTCAGGAGGTTTGAATTGCCATGGAATATAAGCATATTATATATGTAAATAGCCAAAATGGAACAAAACCAAAATAGCATTTATAAACATTCAAAAGGAACTACACAAAACTCAAAAAGAAAAATTATCATTAACAAGATAATTCAGCAGTAACAAAGGAAATTAAGCAGGGAATCTCAACTTTAAATCCTCAAAAAAAGTCTTTTCATAGGAAATCTTGTTGTCGAAACAAGTTTTCTTTTCTTTCAATTGTGCAATCCTCTCCTTATTTTGAGGGATTTTCACCATGAGCAATCCCTTCGAGAATATCTTGATTAACTTCATCTTGCATAGGGAAGTTAGTGGCTGAATCTAACAAGGTTTTCTGTTGTTTAATTTCTCCAATCATTTTGTTGAGTTTGACTATTTGAGCCTGATAAGTCAAAATCTATTGATCAAAAGCAAGCAATTTGTCAAGACGTTCTTGATTCTTAGCTTCAAAATCATTCAGCTTTTTCTTGCAAGCTTCATTGAAGTCTCATTCCAATTTCATTTAATTTAATTTTGTTTTGATCTAGAAATCATCGTGCTTGCGAAGAGTAAGATCTTTGACAATCTGATTAAAGAAAGCTTCGAATTCAATCAAATATTGAGCTAAAGAGTAAGGAATATTTTGTTAGGAGATTTCCTTAAGAAATTTGAAAACATCAGCCCCAACACAACTTCATCTTCAACAACAACAAGAAAGTCACATTCAAACAAGTATGTTTTAAGTTGCTATAATTTTAGAGTGGTAGAATCATTTAGTTCAGAGACATGGGTGATATTCGAACTAGAAGATTGAGAATCAGAAGATGCTTGTCGAAGTTTCTAAAGCCTTCGCAAGGTTTCAACTAGATTCTTTTTTTTCATAGCCAGAATCTCTTCTAGGCTAAGGGAACTATTGGAATTAGTGTATTACAGAATATGAAGGGAATCGACATTGCCACCAATGAGAGCTTGTTGATTCAAGTTTTCTTCAACAGAAGCTTGTTAATGCAAGTTCTCTTCAACAAAGTATGCTTGATTCAAGCCTTCTTCCACAAGAGTCTTGTTAGTGGTAGCAGGTTAGAATTCTTTAGCACCTTCATTATTAGCATCAGGTTGGGGTGATCTTCAGTTAAAAAACCTATAAAGTCGTCATCCCTTTGAGAGCTGAACTCAATTGGCACCTAAACCACATTTTTGGTTTCGATGACAGGTTCATGTGTATCACCAACAAGATTTGGTTCAAAAATCTGCATCAGGGGTGGTTCCTGAAAATGAATTAAAGATTAGTCCAAAAGACTAATTTACGAAGTTAAGACAGAGGGAACATGGAATACCTCAGGAATTGATTATGGAAAGTCTTTTTCTTTCTGAGTTGAAGGTGGTGAAGTAGATTAACGCATAGGAGAAGTTGGAATAGTATCAGCATGATCTGTGAATTTTGTAGTCGAAGTGAAGTTCTCTATGTTGAAAGTTGTGGTGGTCGAAAGGATATCTCTTGGAGCGATATTTTTAAGAACAATATTTTCTTTTCTTTTTCGCTCCTTTAGGCTTGGTAGGCGTTGGAACTTTAAAAGAAGAGAAAATCTGGGAACGATCACTATCGTCGGAGTCTTCTCCTTCAATAGATGGTTGTGGTGTTTCTGCAGAAATCTGAAGAATAGATGGAGTGAGACGCGGTTTAACTTTAATACTAGAACTATAGAAGTGTGTCATACATGTGCTTGTTGGATTTGGAGATTTTCTTTTTCTTGGGAGGATCATTGGAGATAATTTCTGCAGTTGAAGAACGTTTATGACCCTAGGAAATGATAAAATGGTTTCAAATATCGTTTTTATGATCAAATGAATCTTATATAGCAAAGCTTACCTTTTTCAGTTGAGTATCTTTGACATCAACTTGGATGTTTCTTGGACATTGCTATCATGAACTTATGGTGATGGTTCCGATGATGCTTATTTAGTCTCCAGAACATTAAAGGCATCAAGTAATCTTTGTAGAAAGTGTGGTGCAGAGTAACATTGGCGTTGGTAGACAGGCCACCATTGGTCAAATTCTTTGGTGGCGAAGAAAGAATGTTGGAATCGAAACAAGGGGAGCTCAAGGGTTTGGGTAGTCTTATGAAATTTGAGGCATGCTATATGTTTGTCGGAAGTAAGATTATGACCATCCCAAATAATATCAGTGTAATGAAAGAATAAATATTTGGACAACATTTGGTTTAAACCAAATTGACGAGCCATTAGATTTGGCTGATAAATCATAAAGCCATTAACTTTTCGTTCCTGTGTCAATTCTAAAAGAAAAAAAGGTTGGAGTCAAAAATGCTCTCCATATAGCATTTGACTGAGCAACAACTTTTGGGGAAATGCCAGGAAATGGATTCTTGAACCAAATATGGCTGATGTGTCGACCCGAAAAAGGAGCCATGTTTGAAACAAAGGTGGTTGTTTCAAGGAAAAGATTGATGTATTTAATAAAGATAAACCCATTGGGAATTTCCTGATGAGTAGTTAAAGCAAGTCTCATACCTTCGATGGTCCTTTTGTCATACATTTGTATGACTGTCTCTGATAAGGTAGCGTTTAGCCAATGTTGTAGTAGCCAAAAGGGTCTGGAAGAGCCAACGATCTAGGAGTATTGGGGAAAAGTTTTATCTTCAAAGAAGCGGTACCCAAAGTGTGGTATAAGTATGCCCGCAAAAGTTTTCCCAAAGAAATTTGCCGACCCTTATCAATTTGGATTTCCAAATTAATGAAACCTTTGGCTATTTGCAATGACCCTGAGAAAAAAAGTAAGAGAGCTAGAGAGTTAAGAAAGCAACATGTTCCATGTCGGAGACCTCATTATTATCTTTGACAGGTTTGTCGGCTATGTAGTGTTTAAGGCTTGGTCGGTCGAAATTAAACTCAAGCTCAGTCGACAGAGTTGGGTCGAACGTTTCACCCAAAGGCGAAAGACTAGTAATGGCAGTCACATCGAATAAAGTGGGAATCAACATCCCACAAGGAAGTTGGAAGGTATTGGTCGAACCTTCCTAGAAGAAAATCGAGGCAAGAATCATACAGGGGTTAATTTTATGAGCACGCCTCGACAGTTGAATGGCGTCAAAAATACCATCTTGCTTCCACTGTGTTTTTCATTTTTCTTGTATTGTTGAGCCAAGCCAAGTAATCTTTGTTCCCAAGAGTAAGCATGGATCGAAAAACTCTAGCAGTGGGGTCCATGAATTTTAAGTCGAGGGTTTTTTTCCTTAAAAGTAGAGGGCATAATAGGAGTGAAACAAGGGAAGTATTTTTGGACCTTTTTGGAGGCATTTTTGCGTCTGGATACAGACCATGAAAATCAAAAAGTTTTTCAACAACAACGAAGGGTATAAGCATTTGGTGTTGCCACTTTTTCACCTTAGTTTCTTTAGTGGATGAGGGATGAGGAATGTCTTTTAAACCTTCTTCTTCCATAAGTGCGAATGCCACAAGGCTGTTTTCAGTGTTCACTTTGGTTAAAGATGAAGATTCTATTGTAGTAAGAAAAAGGAGAGAGAGAGAGAGAGAGAGAGAGAGAGAGAGAGAGAGAGAGAGAGAGAGAGAGAGAGAGAGAGAGAGAGAGAGAGAGAGAGAGAGAGAGAGAGAGAGAGAGAGAGAGAGAGAGAGAGAGAGAGAGAGAGAGATGAAATGGGTTTGTTGTTTCTTTTTTTGAAAACTGGTAAAAAATGAAAATGGAGAAGGTAGAAGAAGAAGAATCTCAAAGTAGTAGAAGATTATTTATAGGTAAAGTAAAAGTCACTAATGTTGAACAAGTGGCAGTTGAGGGGCAATGGTGTGATTGTTCTGTTTTTATTTGAAGTGGGAAACTTAATGGGAGTGGTTAAAAACCCACGACCTATGGATTGGGAGAAATCATGAGAAGTGATGGAGTTGTATTTGGAAATCGCAACACATAAAGTAGCTATCATTGCAAGTGATGTCAGCAAAGCAGATGGGGTTTCAAAAATTTTTAGAAGAAAAAGCGCCAAATTTCTCATTCGAAGGTAATCTCAGTCGAAATTGGCTTTTAAGGGGCAATTTGTTAGCTGAGAATTTTCGACTAAGATTTCAAGAGGATGCTTGTCGAAATTGGAGAGTAAGATCGATGATAGAATCAGAAAGTGAGATGTTGAAGATGGTTAATGCAAGACACATATAAGACGGCTAGTATGAAGCACTATAAAAGACTGTATGAACACTTAGTCAAATTTAGTACTAAAAATGTTGAAAGTATAGTCGAAGAGACAGACAGTTAGCAATGGCCATTTTCTATGAGCAGTTGTCAATACGTGGGGAAAGTTGTCAAAAGCAATTTGGTATGGAACTGATACATGGTAAGCTATGAGTAGTCGAGTGTTAAATAGCAGTTATCTTTATTTGTCTATTTAAGCATAATTTACATTTAATTCTAAGGGTGGCATTTACAACATCGTAAGAAGAATACTCAAAGTACTCATATCTCACAATTTACTAAGCTTATACATTAAGGGTGGCATTTATAATAGTGTCTGAGAGAAACGAGCGACTTCCAAAAATATATGCATGCATCTCATTTTTAGTTCAAAGCAATTTTATTTTGCAAGTTCAGTATTACTTTTCCGTTTTCAAATTGTCCTTACTTTGATTTGTTTTGTTCTATACATTCTTAGCTTTTATTCAGTCTTATATTCAATTCAAACACAAGCATTCGAAATTAAGTAATTGAATAAATATACTTAGTCACTTTTGATACAAAGCTAGAATACTCAAAAACCAGAAAAAGAAATTCATAATCATACATGATATAAAGTCTCCAACAAAATTAGAGATAGAAATAACAACCGTAAAATAACAAATAACAATAACAATAGACTAATACTACTAACCATTTATGATCAATCATTAGGATCGTAAGAATCATCATCTATTACAGAATCCCAATAAGTTACGTGATCCTCATCAGAATAGTCATCATAAAGCACTGGCTCTGGGAGTCGCAAATCTTTAATCAGATCCATGCACTTTTTCTTCAAACTTTCATCCAATTGAAGATTACAGCATCCTCGAATATCAAGAAACTCAAGACGAGGACAACCACCAAGAATAGCAAGCAATCCGGCATTAGAGAGCGGACTCCCTCTAATATCAAGACGACGGAGCCCAAACATTGTTTTTGCAATAACAAATGCTTGGTCATCATCAATATCACACAACCTATATTTACTCCATGATCTCACATGTATGAGAACTGTTAAAAGAGGGCAACATTGGCCAACAACTTCGAGAGAATCTTTGGATAAGTAGCAGAGTGAAATGTTGAGTCCCTCTAGCAACGGCATTTTTTTTACAGCTTGACTGAAACCTTCATTTGAAATTCCACGGCAATTTACAAGCCTGAGACCTCGGAGATTACCAGCACTGCAAAATTTTGAGTAAGAAAAAGACATCAAGAAAATGTTTCATGAAGGCACAAAAATTAAGTATTAACAGTAACACAGTACTTGTCAGCTATGAATTTAAGGAGATCATCGGTGGCAAAATCATCGATGAAAATGTTTTCTAAGTGACCGCAACTTTGTTTAATAGCATAATGACAAATCTCCATCGCCTCCTCCTCATAAAAATTTCCAAACTTGGTAAACCAAATAGTGCGCCACATGAGAGGATCTTTGAAAATGTTCCACCAAATAGGACACACAAAACGTACACTAGTCACAATTTCGATAGTATCAAGCCTCTGAAGAATGTTTGATGTGATGTCTCTTGGAAGTGCAAGCCAATTCGGCATAGCTTCCTTTGAAGCAACTGAACAGGATGCCATAGTCTTTGTATAGGCAAATTGTTGGAATTAATTCAACTAGTGTGGACAAGTATTTAGAAAGGTTGGTAGATTAACAAATACTATAAGAAGAATTTAGAATCTAGATTACTTGTTCAAGTAAAACTAAGCTTACACATTAAGAATAAAAAAGAAAGCAAGTGGACCAAGTTACTCCACCACCTAAGAATGCTTTCTTAGTAAGTTACTTAACCATTAAGTTTATGGATTCCAAAGCGTATATAAAGGCATAAAGGCATGCAAGCTATATCTTTGAAAATTACTACTCCTTACGACCTTACCAATGGACTTTGGAAAAAGATTTACTGTCACGCATATTTTAGAAAACAAACTCTATTATGTTTCAAATAATAAGAAAAATCGCTTGTTTCTGATAAAAGTTAAACAAATTTGACACTAATAGTCTAAAAACATACAAGCTCGCGTTAATATTTCTATTTCATTTTTTATTTAATATTAATAGTACTCCCTACTAAAAAGTTATATAAAACTCTATAACACATTTTACATTAAGAAATATTGATGATAAATTAATATACTTTCTTTGTATACATATTTTATGTCAGAATTTATTAGAAAATTGATTATAAGAAATAGATCGAGGCTAGAATCGTGAACGAAATCACTTTTTTATAAGTATTTCAAGTATTTTCAAATTGTTTTAGAGATTCTATATAGAAATATCCAAGATAATTCAGCCATTTATCGAGTTTGCACAAGACCGAAAACTCGAATGTAACAAAGAGTGTCTGGATTTTTTGGTGAAGATGATATGCTTTTCTGATGATATTTTACGAATCCAGAACGCTCAATTTATAGGTCAAACTTGTGTTGTTTTATAAGATTGCGGCCTTCGATGAAACACACATTTTCAACAACACTCTTAACGAATGTTACATTGTTTCTCCTACAACAACACTTTTAAAACGTTGTATTTTTTCTACAGCAACAGTTTTCGTAGATTGTTTTGCATTCTGCAGCACTTCACAAGCGTTGTCTATTTCTAAATTCAAAATACAAATGGCCTACTGCAACACTTCACGAAGTGTGCCTATTTTCAAATTCTTCACTTTAAAATTTTCTTGTCATTTTGGAACACGCTAATGATTATTAATTACAACAATTCTCACTTGTTTTAATAATGACAAGATCAATTCCAGAGAAAGGAAATAAAGAATGTTAATACAGTTAAGTATCTTTCGATTTGAACTTAACCTTAGTAAAGACAACGCAAAGCTTAATCAAAATATTAGATAGCTATGTTTTGAACTGTTATCTCATGTGATTAGATTTGCATTACCATACACACACTCTTTAATGGTTCTTCGCCTACATCTCTCGCCTAGCACTAATTATGCCATGTGCTTTTCCTGTTTTCATGAATTTTTCATGATAGAAACTCCAACTCTCACTTTGAGATGACATCATCTTGAAATTCATATAAGTGAAGTTCAATTTGTATTTATTTCTTGAGATACAGCTCCTCGATATAGAACTAAAGAATGGAAAAACACAAGAAAGTGGGGTTGAATTGGGATTAAAATTTAAAGAAAAGAACATGTCGGTTATCCTGGTTCGTTTGAACTCAAACTACTCCAGTCCACCCGCCAAAGTAATTTCGCCTCTCTCAAGCGAGGTCTTAATCCACTAATCAAACTTGATTACACAATCACAATGACAACTTTTAATGTCTTCTTGAGTCTAAAACCACAACCCGGATTTCTCAAGGAATTACAAAATAATATAATTGATTGTGTACAAATATGTTTTCTAAATAAAACAATATCACAATCGTAATGTATTACATAATTTAAGATTGCTAGGTAGAATTGGGTAAATATGCTTTTCTTTTTCGTGCGCAGTGGTTCGTCACTTGAATTCTTCTTTTCGTCTTCTTTATATATGTCATGCAAGACTGACATAAGAAGATGTTTTTTGAATGTTCATAACACGAATTAATGATCTTTCAAAACTAGGAGATTATTGTCTCCTTATTATCGTTAAACTATAACGCTTCATAACTTTCTTACATCAGAAGATGAATGTTACCATTGGGAGTCCCTTACTGCTTGTATCAGAACTTTACAGATCAGAGTATCAGAGATCCTATTTCACAGCGTTGGTGCATTCAGAAGTTGTAACAGAACTTCTTCATATAAGCGTGTCACGCTGATTTGCTTCTAAGAAGGATGTGTCTGATTATATCATAATGCTCTCATCTTCTATGCTCGCATAATCAGAACTTCTAGTGATGTAGAGCCACACTGTGTTCTAACAGATCTTCTCTCATCAGAACTTCCCTGAATATTAAGATACTTTGTTAGCGAATATATATATATCATATGTTTTTTATCATCAAAACTCTTACAGGAATGTAGAACCCGACTATGTTCTAACAATCTCCCCCTTTTTGATGATGACAAAAACTTGTATATTTTGATGGAATATAAAAAACAAAAAAAATTAAAAAACTCCCCCTGAGTAGAATACTCAGATAACGAGAAAATAAAATACTTCTCTGAAGATCTTCTAATATAGCTTCCAATAGGAGTCAAAATATCTATCATTCTCCCCATTTTTGTCAAGAATCAAAAAGTAGTAAAGACTCTATTTGACTTGCTTTGACAGAAGTTGCTTGAAAAGGTGTGACATCCTCTTCTAGATTCAACTGAGATTATTTAGAGAGCTTCTGATATTGTATTCTCATTACCATTTCCAATAGTTTCAAAGCCAATAACCTTTTCTTTCTGATTGCCTCTGAAACCTGTGAATCCTTTAAATTCCAGGCTTTGGAACATATGATTTCTTCCCGTCATGTGTAGAGAGTAACCATAATCTAGGTGTTAAGACTAGTTTTTCAACCTTGCTGTTAAAAATATCTGCAACATAGATTATTTTATCCTTTGCTACCCATATCTTTTTGGGTCCATGATTTTTAGAGTTTCCAAAATTCTGTTTGAATTTTGGTTTAGCGGAAAAAGAATTATTAGTGTACTTTAAGTCATGTGTGTGCCCATAGGTAAAGTGAGAATTCAGAGGAGTGCGTTTAATAACCAAATCCTTAACTTTCTTAGGTTGGGATACTTTACCTTTGTATCTTATTCCTTTTCTGCCATTTTTGCTAACTCCATAGATCATTGAAGTCATCTTGTTTCTATCTATGTTTTTAGTAAGAAATTTTTGAAAGCTCTAATCATATTCTTTTATGATTTTATCAGAGTTACTAGGAACTTCTGAGATAGTTTCCTTCTGAGTATTTTGTAATTCATTTTCAAGTTTTGAAATTTTTTCTTTCGGCTCAAAGTTTTCCAATCTCAGTTTCTTAGTTTCTTCAGAGTCAAAAACTAGATCATTTTTCAGGTTCTTGTTTATGACTCGAAGTTTCTGATACCTTTCAAGAATTTCTGACAAACTCTCTTCTAATTGAGATCTAGAAAAGTTAGAGCTTACCTCTTCTGACTGGATCTGATTCAAATTCAGATGATTCGGAGACATCTGATAAGTTAATCGTTTGAGCTATATTGATTCGTTCATCTTCTGATTCTGATCCATCTTCTGAAGATTCGGAGTCATCTCATGTTGCCATAAGACTTTTCTTCTTTTCTTTAGAGAGCTTCTTTTTAGGTTTCTCTATTTGAAAATTTGGACAGTCACTCGTGTAATGACCTTGTTCATTGCATTTGTAGCAGGTAATGTTTCTGTTATTGGATTTTTTGTATCCAGAAGATTGTTCAGAGTGATTCCCTATTCTTCTATAATTTCTGAATTTCCTCTGCCTATGCTTCCACAGCTGATTGATTCTTCTGGATAGAAGGAACAATTTGTCTTCTTCTGACGAGGATCCACCAGATTTTTTTGCTTCTACTTTTGCCTGCAAAAATTTGGTTTCATATTTATTAGATTTTAGAGGGAGAGACTTACCTTGCTTCTGAGGCTCATCTTGTTTTAATTATATCTCATGACTTCTCAGGGAGATGACAAGTTCTTCAAGAGAGATTTTGTTCAGATCTTTGGCCAGTTTAAGAGTTGTGACCATGGGTCTCCATTTCTTGGGTAAACTTCTTATGATCTTCTTTACATGGTCAGCAGTTGAGTACCCTTTATCTATAACTTTTAGCCCAGCAACCAGAATTTGAAATCTTAAGAACATTGTTTCAATGGTTTCATCTTCTTCCATTTTGAAGGCTTCATACTTCTGAATGATCGCAAGAGATTTGGTTTCTTTGACTTGCGTGTTGCCTTCATGCGTCATTCTCAAGGAATCAAACATAAGTTTTGACGACTCTCTGTTTGTGATCTTCTCATACTATGTGTATGAGATAGCACTCAAGAGAATAGTTTTTTCCTTTTGATGATTTCTGAATTCTCTCTTTTAATGATCTGTCATTCTTTTTCTATCAATCTTTTGACCGCTTTCATCAACAGGATGTATGTATCCATCAGTCACCATATCCCAAAGATCAGCATCATAAGTTAGAAAGAAACTTCTGAATATGTATTTCCAATAATCAAACGTTTGACCATCAAATATTGGGGGTCTGCTATTGATTCTGTCTTTCTCATCATGATAATCATTGCTGATGTTCTGACTTGGTCCCACCATAGTGTTTTTCCTCCTTGGATCTTTTTCTCACACGGTTAAGTGTTTGCACCCAGATCCAGGTGCTCTGATACCAATTGAAGAATGGAAAAATACAAGAAAGGGGGTTGAATTGGGATTAAAACTTAAAGAAAAGAACATGTTGATTATCCTGGTTCTTTGAACTCAAACTATTCCACTCTACCCGCCAAGGTGATTTCTCCTCTCTCAAGCGAGATCTTAATCCACTAATCAAACTTTATTACACAATCACAATGACAATTGTCAATGTCTTCTTGAGTCTAAAACCACAACCCGGTTTTCTCAAGCAATTACAAAATAATATAATTGAGTGTGTACAAATATGTTTTCTAAATAAAACAATATCACAACTGTGATGTAT